ACGATAAAGCTTGTAAAAGAGAGCAACTAAAACTGACCGCTTAATAAATGAAAAAATTTAAAAATTATTCGAAAAAGTACAAAAGAAATTTCAAATATTTACATTTTATTAAATTTATTTTAAAATTTTCTTTTTTGTTTTTGCAAATTATTACAGTTTTTCACTAGCCGCCCAACTAGGAAAATACCAATGCAATAGCTGCCAAATATGTAACTGACTAAACACGCAAGTAGCAATTCTTACAACTCTATATGCCGATATGTGCCAACAAACTAAATATGCGCACACATATATATATATATATATATATATATATATATATATATACTAGGATTGCAGTGAGTATGCTTGCACACATACTTGTATTGGGGCTAGCGTGTACAAGGTTAACTCCTTTCCTTTTCATTCAGACAGCCCAACAGCTCGAATGCCCAGCAACAGTGGCGGCTACTGTTAATGCGGCTAACGAAGCTACTACATACATACACATGTACATGTAGTATGTAACTACAGTAGCTGAAAGCCAATCTATCAGTCAACTAATCGACCGGCAAGTGGTTAGTTAATTATTATGAAGCACTTACGAGGCATTCATGCGCTTACATATGCACCCATGGCTTGCCTGTAAGATTGCATTTTTTGTGGTTGTCAGTCAAAAACTTTTGGTCAAAAAAGTAGCCAAAAATACAATAGAAATACAAAGTTGTAAACAATCCAATGGCCACTTATTGGATTATTGTTAGTGAGTAGACAAAGTTTTGATTTTCATTTCTATACTTGGATTATTAATAGTCTATTGAGAAAGCCGAAGAAGGTATGAAAGTTCTTAAATGATTTGAGTACCTTTGTGTTAGCTTTTAGTATGAAAATGAATATCATCCATTTGGAGCTATATTTGTAATAAAATATTTAAGATTTGAAATAAGTAGCATATGAAGCTAATTTGAAAGTAGGTTCAGTCGATTATCGAATTTGTACACAAAGTTTTGGAACAGGTCTGCTCTTTTGTTGGCAAAATATAGTACAAGTTCAATACTGCTTTAAGACAATTTCGGTGCTATATCTATAATTAATTAGAAAAATGTAGCGAATTACTGAATTACTACTTTCGAACCTTTTCCGAATGAGTCCGAAATTTTCGTAGACAATTTTTTGAATATTTTGGTAACAAACATTCAAATAATAAAAAATGGGACTACTTTGAAACTAGTCACCAGCCGTTGTGGAATTACTCCGAAATTTTTCGAAGTGAAGGTGAAGTTGAAAAATACTTTAAGAAAATTTCCGAGATTTAAATTTTCAGAACTTGAATGAGACGGAACTAACGCAAATTAATGCGGTTTTTATAACTGCTGTTTTCATAACAGCTCCATATTTTTAAGAGCGGTTTGGTAGTATTGAATTTCGATTGCAAAAAAAAAAAAAATGAAAAATTATGGTCTGTTGGAATCTAGCTCATGCCTAGTCAAGTAATGTTTTATTAAGCATTGTTTAATAAAAAAAGTGATATATTTGTCAGTTAATTACATTTCTCAAAAGTTAATGCAAAAGTGGTCCACTGTGCGCAAAACTCAATATAGCCATCTATATATATTGCACATAACGCTCTTTTTGCTAGACCACTCTTGTACGCACTACAAAAAAGAGCACCTGATATTCAACTCAGTAACAACAACAATGAAATACCAAACAAGTGCGCGTGTACTTAGCTTACTGGGTTTTCTTAAGCTCAAAGCCGTGCAAAATCATTCACTGTCGGTGAGTTAATGTATTTTTAATAATATTAACTACAACTTTTCAAGACACAGTTCATTTTATCAGCAAAAAAATAAAAACCGAAATATACATGCTCGCTCTCAAGTATTTCTTAAGCTTTATGTAAGCCAGCAAGCGTGAAGAGAATGCAAATTTGTTTTGTATTGTTTTTGTGGGGTCTTAAGGTGCATTTGTGTGTACTTCTTTATTGGGATTTTTGCACGCCAGTGTTGTGTTGAAAGGTAGTTAAGGTTTTACTCCACTGTTGTTGTTGGTTTTTGGTCTCTACCATTGTTGTTTTTTCTTCAATTTTTTGTTTGGTTTTTCAAATTTGTTGCTACTATTTGTTTTAAAGTCCCTTCCTCTTATGTTTTTGGTAGTAAGAAACACAATTACGTATACGCCCGCGTGTCCGAAATTGTTCATTTATCAAATGCTCATAGACTGTAATGAGCGTATCGAATGTTTTGTTGAAATCTTTGCATTTGTGTGTCGGATGTTTGAAATTATTGTTGCTCATCTGTTATGCTGCTAACTGAGTGCCCCTGGCCAGTTTCGGTTGGGTTTAATTTATTAATAGACTCCTGTGGCTGCTTATTGTAAAGCGCTGTGATGCCACGAACAATGGACCCGTTACAAGCGATTGCTTGGTGGTTATTATGTAAGAGGCAATTTAGTAGTATTTCTGCTGCGCTTTTTGATTAATGCAGTTTATTTGCCAAAAGCGTATAATTTCAATGTAAAAAAATCTTTTGAAAATGAAAAAAGTTTTGCATGGTTCAAAACAAAATAAATAAATAAATTCAGTTTGTAAATTGCTAAAAATTATAAAGTATGATATATATATTTATTGTATATTTTTTTTAATTTTAAATAAAGTAATAATGAAAATTTTAGTTTTTTAAATTTTTTATTTATTTAATCAAAATAAAAAGTTGTCAAAATTTCTAAATTAAAAATTGTCTAAATTTCTTATTTTCATTAAACAATTTTTTTTCTTATTTAGTATTTATTGTTTTTTCAATTTGCAACTTTTAGTATATACAAATTTTATTATTACAAAATTTTTTTAAATTTTTTATTCAATTATATTTGTTGCTATGCAGCAGCACAACGTATTTGCGTCAATAAACAGTTAAAACAAGATTTTTTTAATCATTTGTATAATTTTTGTATTTCGCGCAAAATATAAAGCAGAACTCGTTTCTATTTATTTAATGAAGTTCTGCACTGTGCGGTTAATGGGCGTGTGTTTCTTTTAAATTAAAACTTAATAAATAACGAATTTCTGTCGCGCTATGGCTTCGTTCCGGTTATTCATTGTCCATTCTAAACTCGTCAATGAAGCTCTACAAAATGCATTAAAATTTTTTATAATAAATTTAGCTCGAAAAAAACACCATAAATGTGCAGTTAACTTAATCTTTGCACTTTTTCAACTTAATTATGAAATAAATTTAAATTTTTTTGTTGCAATCCTTATGATTGGGCGACACTTTCGTAGTCGTTAATGTGGTTTTGTTGCTTTGAATAAATTTTAGCTAATTGTATTTTGGGTATATGCAAAGCTTGATGGTTTTTAATAACTTTCTAGACTAGTTTTTGTCATACACCAATCTCCCAAAATTGTTTGTGACACTCAAGCTAATTATTCTCAAATATTAGACATGAATTTCTTCTGAGAAGCTTTATTCATCTCTCTCATTTTTCCCACCAGATCGTTACTCATATGGTAAGTCTTTCGCAAAATCCCTTTCTCGAAGGCTTGTAGGACTTACTCATCGGAAGTTGACATCGGCCAGGCTTCTGCACCATCAGGGTTAAAATCCAGGTACGAACGATGTCCAAAATCCGAAGAAAATTAATGAAAATAACAACTAAGTTTAATTTTCTAACTTTAGTCACCCCGCCGAGTGTATCTTTGACATCCATTAAAAGCTCCTCATAAAACTCAAGCAGCCGTTTGGAGGCGGCTTAGTATAAGCTGTAGGTCTGTCCATTTCTTGGAAAGACATCAAGAAAGACGCAAGACCACAAATTGGAAGAGGAGCTCGGCCGAAAATCGCTTCATCGATTACAAAGCGCCAAATATATATATTCAGTCCAAAGTAGCATCTGCTGCCAATAGTGATTCTCAGCTACATACTGTGATATCGAAGGCAGTTTTAAAATCGATGAAAAGTGGTTGTATATCGATTTTTTTCTCATGGATCTTTTCCAAGAATTTTCGCATGCTGAACATCCTCTAAATGGTGGGTTAACCAGGTCTAAGGCTACATTGATATGTCGCAATCAGCTTATTGACGGTGGGATTTAGTCTTTCCCACAATGCGCTCGTTAGAAACTTGTTGTGAGGCTCATTCCATGGTAATAAGCACACACCGTGGGGTTAGCCAGTGCTGAGATGATGTTAAAAATTTGTATTTAAGTCAAATAACGAATCGACTTTGACCAAGTAAGCTTCTGTTGTATATTGAGTTATAGAAAAATACATGCGAGGGTTGCCGATTTCCTGATGGGTTTAGCAGTTCAGCATATCTAGTGTCCCTCAGTGTCAGCACAAAGCAAAATTTATATAAATAGTAAATTTTTTGCGCCATAAAAATATTTTCTTCTAATAACTCTGTATGTGAAATGAGCCTTTTAACATATACATCATTACATAACTCACTTCTGGGGCACCAAAGAGTCTGTAAAGCACACTTAAAACTCATATTAACATACATACGTACACACATATATCCACATAAAAAATGTTTTCTCCCAATAAAAACTTGTTAAGAATACAAATTAATTTATATACTTAAGTTTAAAAGCTTAGCATCGCCTACACTCGTGCACACATAAATTCTATACTTTCTGTTGTTGTTCGACATCTAGTGATGTCTGTGTGTAGTTCAGTGAATTGCTAATTAATGACAGCGCGAAACAGTGAGCGCATTCAAACGCGTTTTCAAACTTGTAAATTTTTTAAGTCAAGTTATGCATAATTACTTTTTTCTTTGTTTTTATTTTACTGCTTTTTTTCGTTTGAGTTTGATTGAGCTCTCAAGTGCTAATTTACTCAGCTCGAACTTCATTTTAGTTGCCTACGAACGCGTTGGCTGCATTTTCAAAAACAAACAACTCCTCTGGTTGCCTGCAATTGAAGAGTAAGCTGAACACAAATTGCAGCTTTTGAGATTCTCTTTTGCCTTCAGAAAACGTCTTGAGTACGTTTGCTGTGTCTGCTTCGGTGTCGCCTTGTCTTCAAGCGCATTCGCGGTGGCTCTCTGCAAGCACCAATGGGTTTGATGATGGCTGGTTTGCTGGCCTCATTGCCAACATTTCGCCACCTTTGGTTTGGTGTTGACTTTACTCAGTGAACGTGTTTTATGGCGAGCGGTTGTGTGCGCGCTCGTGTCGTTGTAATTTTTTTCGAAAACCATATTTCCTGTTTATTTGTGCGTTGCTTGGGGTAACTTCGCGTTGATCGCGTGAAATTGTTTCGTTTAATGCTTTGAGCATATTTGAATGCATCCCGTTTGTGTTTCCTATAAAACGAATTTAAATATATATTTGCATTTAGTTAATTAAATTAAATAAAAAATATATATTTTAAGGTGTTAAGCAAGTGTTATGAAAACAACTTTCCTGCAAGTAAAAAAATTTACAAAAATTCTAAACTTTTAAGGTTTGACCTACAGTCAATGTTTTACACAGTAAATGCAAAATTAAGAATTTTCTGAAAATACCCAAAAAAGTATCATCAATTTCAAACATCTTCATGTAGCCGTTGTTGATAATTATATGTATGTACCTCATTAAAGTGCTGTTTCGGTTACACCTTCGTTGCAGCCACGACATACCAAGAGCGCAGATGTCATCTTCATAGCTATGGAAATATTTGTTGTAAAAAAGAAGTATATGTAGGCTGTAGAGTAGCAGACGCGACACACCGACTCAAGCTTCCGGCAGAAATATTTGTTTTGTCTGACAAGAAGTCAGCATTAAAAGGTGCGTTGACAGTTTAAATTATAATTTTAATTATTTTTTTCATTTTAATTGACGGCATACAAAATTTAATTGTCTAGCGAATCTCGGAAACCACTGTTTTCATGAAATAACTTTTTTTTATAAAATTTCCTTGACAGAAATCATAAATATCTTGAAACTCTTTTCTAGGAAATGGATGTTATTCTGCTCAGGTAAAGTGTTAGGTGTACTTTATTGGCAAAAAGTAAATTCGTTAAAACTTGGAATATTTTTCCATTTTATTCTAAGGCCCTAAATTTTGAAGACCACTCGTACTACAGAATAATGTTGCAATTGTACTGATGTGGTTACATACATACGTGTATGTAACTTGCGTATGCAGGTCCATATCACCGTATTGTTTTATTAATGGATTGCTGCCGTTTGTGTTGCACTTTTTTAGGTTTTCCTTAAAATCCTACCAATAAAAAAGTTCATCTAAAATGTTTTTAATGTGTCTACGTTTAAAACTCAATGCGTTGCATACAACACTTAACTCAAAAGACCTAAACAACAAGTCAAACAGAAGCAAAAAAAAACTAGCCGGATTAGATCAGAGAGTTTATGAATTAAACCACACAGCACAGTGGAACAATCAATTGCCGTATAAAATTTATAAACAAGAAACTGTCATTAAACCAAGAAAAAATGAAATAAAATATAACAAAATCAAAAAAAATAAAAAAAAAAATAAAAAAAGAATTAATCTAAAAAAATATCAACCAAAATAAAATAAGAAAATAAGATAATATAATAAGACAAAATGAAGAGAATAAAATACTTTTTTTTTTAAATTAAATAAAATCAAATAAAATAAAATAAAATTAAATAAAGAGGAAGTAACATCAAATTAATTAATTAATTAAACAAAATGAAATAAAACAAAATAAAAAATTAAATAAGATAATGTAAAATAAAATAAAGTAAAATAAAATAAAATAAAATAAAATTCAATAAAGCAAAATAAAATAAAATTAGATTAAATTCAAACAAAATAGAGTTCACAAAATAAACTTAAATAAAATAAAAAGTAATCTAACTACAATTAAGTAAAAAAGAAAATAAATTAAAATTATAAAAAAATAAAAGTGGTATAAAAAAGTAAAATAAAAAAATTAAAGAAAAAATTAAATAAAATGAAATTAAGGAATAAAATAATATCAAATGAATTAAAATTAAACAAAATATTTAGAAAAATAAAACTAATTTAACAAAATAAAATAAAGCTTAGTAAAATGAAAGAAAAGAATTAGACTAAATAAATTAAAATAAAGATTTAGAGAAAAAAAATAAAAAAATTACATAAAATTTATTTAAATTAAGTGAAAAAATATAAAAAAATTATAACAAAAAGAATATACTGAAATAAATAAAATGAATTAAAATAAAAAAAAAATAAAATAAAAACTAATAAAATAAAAAAAATTAAAATAAAATAAAATAAATTAGATGAAATAAAATTGAAAAATTTAATAATATAAATTTAAAAAAAAAAATAAATAAATAATTAAAAATAAAATAACAATTCCTTAGAATTTCTTTTTTTTTTCTGCCTGAAACATATTTTAGACAACAAGGTACTAGAAAAAAATTGTATTCTCTATGTTGTGAAAATTTGTGTACATTTCGAAATATTTACGGTGGCCATTATGCCCGAGCAATAAGCATCGTCGTTCTGAAAACCAGAGTTCTAGTCCTGGTTTGAGCAATATCCAAAATTAATTTTTTTCATTGCGGCTGCTTCTTGGCAGGGAATGTCAACACCTCCGAGTGTATTTTTGACATGAATTAAAGACTTCTCATAAAAACCAGCAGCCATTCGGAGGTGGCTTAGTATAAACGGTAGGTCCTTCCGTATGCTGGAAAATATTAACACGCTTACCTAAATTTAGAGGAGAAGCTCGGCCGAAAAAGGCGTTAGCGGTTTAAATTCCAATTATATACAAATATTTAGAAACGATAAAAGCTGGACATTCTCGCGGATAATTAGTCCCATGACTATTGTCAAACCAAAATTCTATTGGCAAACATTTTTACAAAAAAAAAAAATAATAATAATAAAAAAATAATGTTTCAACTAAATAAATATATGTTTGTATATTTTTTGGAAAAAATTCAATACTTATCCAAGTTTTACTGTACCTAAAATTTAAAACACGTCATTACTTGTGACTATGCAAGGCAATAAAACTCCTACATATGTGTATGTACATACATCTGTATGTACATAGAGGCTTAGATGCCTTTGTGGCTGCACAATTGAGGGCACTATGGCACACTGCTATGTCTTTTACTACCTTTATTGCCATTTTAGTGCCTTCAAGCTATTACTGCCGCTGCTGGTCGGTTTGTTTGACGGCTGGCGGCTCGAAATTAGAGCGTCGCGTACGATTTGGTGTACGATATCTACATACACGTACATATAAACTTGAAATGACTGTTAAAGAAACGAAATTATGTAATATTACAAATCGACGCATAAATGCGGTTAACAGCGGTGCGCATGTGCTGGTGCTGTACAGATAAAAGCGGCGTTTATTGTAATGTTATTGATTACAGTTTTTGTTTTCTTCATTTAATTTTTTGTTTTGCAAAAATTGTTACTATCGATTATCATTAATTTGCTTTCATTTTAGTTTGTATTCATCACCTGACACCTTAACGGAAATGAAACAACAGGTGGATTGTTTTGTTTGCTAACAAATTCAAGTGAAATTATTATTTTCCGAAAATTCAGACGGATTTGGTCAATTTTTATAGTTGTTGGGTGTTAAATTGTTGTTGTATATATAATTTCTTTATGTATATGTACATAATTCAATTATTTTATTTTACATATCTACATATTGTATTTATGTTCCTAATTGCCGATCATACACTTGCCGCATTGTTGCGCATGCGCCCCAACCGCATTTTATGAGAAGAATTCGAAAAATGCAAAAAAAAAAAAAAAGAAACATCGTCACAACTACTCAACATTCAATTGCAGAGTTTTTGGCACATACATACATACATTTATATATTTCTATTGGATTCTTTTTATTTTAATTCGTCATGACGCCAAAGTGAGCAAAATAAATTAAAATAACTACACACAATGCAATGCAAAAAATTGTAACGTGCAAAAGTTGGATATTTGTAAACAAATAACAATTAATGCATAAACACATACATGTTTATGTTCATATGCATACTATGCGCATACGAGTGTATATGTAAAGTATAGTCTCCGTTTGTCTGAGTGAATGGATTGCGGCTTTTGCTTTAAAGAAATCAAATCCAGCTTGACGACTACTCTTGTTAAGGCACGTACATATATCTATATATACAAATATACATGGTACATGTGTTTATATGTTGGTAGATGACTGCGAGTATTTATGTTAGATAAAGTATTATGGGCAACTATGTAAATATATACATCACTATATACTCATATACATGGAGCTGAATCTGTAACTGCTGAACGCGTTTCGACCGAATTTGTGTGATATTCTTCTACCCTAAAGACAAACTTTAATCCGCAATTGAGTTATTTGGAAAATCTTTATTTATAATCATCCTCAAATTGGAAGCTTATAACGCTTATGTGTTGCAAAATAAGAGCCGCTAGAGAGCGTAAGCATCCTAGAGCCTTTGTGGTGGAAAACAAACATAAAAAGTTCTTCACTCCCTGCAAGTAATCGATGAACTAATTAAAAATTTAGAACAGAGCCTGATATTTTCAAATGAATTTTTTTGAAGTGCTGCGATACTGTTAAAAACATAGTTAAAGGACTAACTTCGGATGAGAGAGATAGTCTTAAGCTTTATTTTCCTTGATTGTGTCAGATCATAGGAGCGTATATTATCTGATCTTCTTCATCGATTATTGATTATATAAATAATTATTAATAACTCTGGAACTGGCTAATACTAAGTGTTTTCGTTAACCTTTGAATTCGACCCTCAACATTACCTCCCCTCTACAGAGGAGTGGGATAGAAGTGAAGTGAAAAAAGCCACTTCCAAATTATATAATCGACTGGATGCTTGCGCCCTTTCAGCAGGCTCAGATACAGATATCGCTTTCCAATAACCAGATCATTGCAGTATTTCCAAAGCGAAAATTACTTATGGCAAATTTGTTTTGAATTCTTTAAACTCTCTCTTCATATCCCAGCTAAGATAATTAATGAATGTCTTGACCTATTCGTGAGACTAACACTAACTACTTAACGATAAGCAATGGGTAAAGGGATAAAATAAATGACATAAGTGCTATAAAACATCATCTTGGCGGATGCAAAACTTTGCCTAGAAAAAGAATCAAATCTTTGGGTCATAATTTTCCTGACGATGTGTTAGGAGTTACACACAAACAATTTTTGGAACAAAAATATTTTATCAAAACCACAGGGTAGTTCAGAGAGGAGATGTTTGTATGAAGAAACTTTAGTCCCAAAGGCTGATAACATCCATTGTACTTAACTACTCAGCCAATAAAGTTTTAAAAATAAAATCGATTTTAATATTTTTAGGGCTTGATTTGAAATAAATGAAAACAGAAAATAAGATAGATTAGATTTTCAACAGGAAAAATTATGAAAAAACAACTATTTAAACGTATTTTATGTTTTTCAAGATTAAGTCATTACTAGTAGCTATGACTTACATATATATTTATATATACCAGTTGGTATCAAGTAGTATCAGATGGGCGTTTAATTTAATTTGCGAAAAGTAGACTCCGTTAAAACTTGTATAGGGTAAATATGGGATTAATTCTAGTCGAGGCAAGAGGCTGCCTTCCCACTCCTCGAGCATATGTTTATCCATCTGTTTATAATGCTCACTTTTGTCGTGTATGTTGTTTGTATGCTTCTCAGTCTTGCAGGTCCTCACGTCATTCCATTCCATTCTAATCCTTTTGGGAAATTCCGTTGTACATATGCACATTTCAGAGTGTTTGGTATCTTCTGCTTCACTTCAGTCACCCGATA